AGGCAATGTGAGGTTAGTTTGCTTTTCTAACATAAATTCTTCAACTAACTAAGGCATATTGATTGCTAAAGGAAATTGTTTGCTAGTGAAGATCCAGTCATCCTCTGATCAGCTGCTATTATGTAGCTTGGGTATTTTTTATGTTAACACTAACAGTTAGGGGTGAACCGCTGATATGTACCATGGGTAGTTTTTTATATTAATACCAACAGTTAGGTGTGAAGAATGGAACATTTCATTTTGCATGACAACGTGGTAATTTGAAATATACTTATATAATCATATTACTGTACAAGGGATGCTTATCTTGGACTTATGAATAGGGATTTTCTGCACCAAACAACTCTTTGGCTCAATTGATTTGTACCCGAAGTTGACATCCTCTTACTTTTGTTTCACATCCAAGTCTTTCCTACAAACCTGTACTGTCCAACAAGATGAGGGATTTTAACTTTGTTAATTAAAAATTTCTTTTCTATGGTGTTTGCACTCGCTTTTCTCATTGTCGGTAAATACATCATTGCCAACTACCCAAAACCAGGCTGCTTGCTAGAGCTTGCTGGTCTACTCTGTGGAGTTACCACTTTCTTTGTGGCCATCACCATCTCTTTCTCTCTCTGCCTCAAGCTCATTTCCCTGATCGTGTATGCTCTTTCATTGCTTGCCATTTCCATCTGCAATTGCCGTCGACCACTGTGAACCCCTAATGCTAACCCTGTAGCACAGGATTGTCATTCAGGTTGGTTTTTTTTTTTTTAAATGGATATTAATTATTAGCTGCTTTAGGTCACATATTATAATATATGTTTGTGGCCACTGTTAGTGCAGGACTAGTAGTACTTAAACTTGCATGGATAGGATTTTGGAGTTTTAACTTCCCATGGTAAGTATGCTATTTGTAAAATGCTCCGTCACCTTTATAGCCTTGTCGTCAACCATTGCAGCCTCCTTCGTCCATCATCTTCTCTAATTGGCCCTCCCTCGCTATTCTGATTTGTGAGCGTCAAAAAGCCTATGGCTTTGACATTCTTCTCTTGTTAAGAAAACAAATCTGAGTTTAAGTGGTATAACTCTTAACCTGTTTCATTGTAATAAAAGTCATGCTTAGGCATGCTCCTAGTTGCAAAATGCAGCCAAGCACTAGCCTAGCACCTTCCGCGTGGCTAGGCGAGGCAACATAAAGAAGGCCGAGCTTGGTGTGCTTAAGGTTCGCGACTACTTAAGGCAAAGTTAGGCGGAAGGTGCTGTGCCTGAAGGGCTTACATGTTATATTTTGCATTGCTTTATTTTTGTTCAAATATCACCAGTGATTTAAGTTAGTATAAGGTGTAACTACCAGGGATTATAGCTCTCAATTATACAAGGCAATACAATGGGTATTCAGCCCCAAAAACCAGTGTTCTGTTTGGTTGTTTACATTGTGCGGTCAGTTTGGCCCGTAGAAACAACAAACTGAGAAGTTTGGTTTGGTGTGAAAATCTGCCAAAATCCTAACCGAATCGAACCATGTTCATGTTAAGTTACTAATTTTCCCAAAAGCCTAAGCTGTTAGAAAATGGGTGAACAAGCAGACTGTACACATGGTCCTTGAAGTCGTGTTGGTCTATATGCTGATTTGTAAGGCACATGTAATCACTTGTGTCTATGACATACAGTAGGTTGGAAAGTATCTACAGAAACTAAAAATAGAAACTAACATATGTAAAAGATGCCTGATGGGGTTGACACAACTCATTTTATTGGTGTGTTTCATTGTCTTTTAGTACAATTTAGTAGATATCTGAGAATTTTGATTTTCTATCTTCCCATCTTGTTTCGTGTTGGGGTCCCATTAAATTGAAACATTTTGGTTGTTTTGATGGAAAAGAAGCGCAATTTTGTTGCTTGGTTGACACTAGAGTCATGCTGTCTTTGCTTGTTCTTTTCCTACTTTCTCATTTTTCTAAAATGTTCTGCATGCTACTAGGTTTGAATGGTGATCTTCATATTGTTTTGGTGTTAAAAGGGTTGTTTGTTAAGCTTTCAAGTGCATAAACCTCTGAAGTAGTATGAATTTTAGTTCAATAGAGACTTGACATATTAACTGAATGCAAAATATTGCATAATGAAATAGAATAATAGGCACACATTACATGTCCTGTTCTTGAAGTTTGTGTTTTCTGCTTTGCATTTGTATGTATGCTTCTTGAACTTGTATTCACTAGTTAATTGTTTCAAATATATACTTCAAATTTGCATAACAGTGCTTTTTGATTATATTGATTTACAATGTGTTAGTTGCATTTAGTTTTCTTGTAAATTTGTAGAGCATTTCTTCCATTGTGCAACATCATCTATTTCTAACTGAATTATAACAAATATGAATGCATCTCATTGTGTTTTTGTTCATTTGAATAACATCTCATTTTTCATTTGGTAACCCAAGCTACTTGAATCTTAGTTTGCATGGCTGGACGCTGATATTTGCCGTTAAAGTTATGCAAATATTGTAAAAAATTTGAACTGTTTATTTTGAAGTACTGGATTAGTCTATAAACTAATATAATAGGATTATGCATAGTGGCTCACTAGGCTAACTATCAACATAATCTATATCTAGGTGAGTATGAGATGGATAAATTAACTTACCAACCAACCTCTGATATCTCTCCCTCCTTGTCAAATGAATCTTTAGTTTCATCCCCTAACATGCAATTCTGCTCCAACATGGTATCAATAGCTTTATACCCAAGCACACTTTGTCCTTAAGAAGGTCGAAAACATATGTTCTTAGTGAGATAAACACATCTAAGCATAGCCCAAGTAAACCTCTGAAATCATGCTCTAGCACACTTTGTAACTCATATAATGCCTTTTTAAGCTTGCACACTCCCATCCACTAAGAAATCCTCAAAGCCCGGTGGAACTTCTGTAAATACTTCTTCCTTTAAGTCTTCACAGAGTAACACATTCGTCATATCTAATTGTTAAAGAGGCTCAATATGTTAATTCTCTAGAATAGGCCACATGAAGAGCTTTCGAAAATGGCAATGCTGTGAATTTCAGTTAATTTGAGTGCTTAACTAACTTGCCATGAGACAAAATTACATGCTCATATCAGCAAGTTTTTTCAAGAGTATGTCATATCAGAGAAATTCTACCTTGCAGCAAACTTGTGTTTGTGGCCACTGTTAGTGCAGGACTAGTAGTACTTAAACTTGCATGTATAGGATTTTGGAGTTTTAACTTCCCACGGTAAGTATGCTATTTGTAAAATGCTCCGTCACCTTTATAGCCTTGTCGTCAACCATTGCAGCCTCCTTCGTCCATCATCTTCTCCAATTGGCCCTCCCTCGCTATTCTGATTTGTGAGCGTCAAAAAGCCTATGGCTTTGACATTCTTCTCTTGTTAAGAAAACAAATCTGAGTTTAAGTGGTATAAAAGTCATGCTTAACTCTTAACCTGTTTCATTGTAATAAGAGCATGACATGGTTTTCATTATTTTGATATATCATTCTATCATTGACCATATAGTTTCTCTAGTACTAGTGCTCTACTAGTTATGCTATGTAGTGGTCCAAAATTACGGGTCATTTCTTAAATTAACTTGTTTTAGAACTAATCGTGTCATAAAGTTCCACCCTAAAAGAGATTTATGTGACAAGCCAAACAGTGAATGAAAAACAACCTAATCTATCTCAACTTGAAATGCGTGTTCTCATGGCTTCCTCGGTTAATGTTTGTGTGAGTTGTAGGTGACAAAATGGACAAGAGTTGGATGACGATAAATAATCGGTTGACAAGTAAAGAGTATCAACAAGGGGTGAAGTCATTCCTTGATTTTGCTACGGCAAATTTAGGCGTAGAGGATGAAATTAGGTGTCCGTGTGTCTATTGCATTAATGGCACAAAATATAGCAGACAAGTTGTGTGGATGCACTTGATCCGAAGAGGCATGGCATCTTCGTATCTAACTTGGGTGCATCACGGGGAACATGTTCCCGTGTCTCGTCCTAGTGTATCAAATGACCAATATGGAGGTAGTGGCGAATGTATGACAGATATCGATGATCCGCCCATGGATGAATTGCCTATTATGTTGGAAGAAATTTATGTGAGTGGTCTTATGGATGATCATACCGACGAGGAACCTAATGGTTTGGAGAGGGAGGATTTGCATAAGTTCATTAGGTTATTCGAAGATGCACAACGCAAAGTTTACCCAACATGTGAAAAGTTCTCTGTGTTATCATTCGTCATTAAGATGCTTCATGTGAAGGTGTACAACAAATGGAGCAACAAGTCATTCGATATGGTTATGCAAGTATTCAAGGACATTCTACCATAATGTGATCAAACAGTTCCATGGACACTCTATGATGCTAAGAAGTTCTTATGTGACTTGGGTTTGGGATATGAAACAATTCATTCGTGCAAGAATGATTGTGCACTATTTTGGAATGAGAGTGCTAATTTGGAGAAATGCCCTACATGTGACGCGTGTAGATACAAGTTGAACGATGATGGTGGTAAAAAAATTCCACACAAGGTATTGCGGTACTTTCCTTTGACACCGAGGTTGAAAAGACTGTATATGTCCAAAAAAATAGCCGCAGATATGAGATGACACAATGAGAAGTGTGTGGATGATGACATATTAAGGCACCCGGCCGATGGTGAAGCATGGAAGGACTTTAATAAGCAACATCCGACGTTTTCTGATGACTCTCGAAATGTAAGGCTAGGGCTGGCAACAGATGGTTTCAATCTATTTGGGAATATGAGCACATCATATAGCATGTGGCCCGTAATCTTAATGCCTTACAATCTCCCACCGTGGAAGTGCATGAAAGAGCCATATTGCATGATGTCATTGCTTATTCCCGGACGATCGGCACCTGGAAGAGACATTGATGTTTACTTGCAACCACTAATAGAAGAATTGAAGAATTTGTGGGAGCATGGTGTGCAAACATATGATGCATCGAACGGGCAAATTTTTAGAATGCATGCGGCGGTAATGTGGACCATAAATGACTTCCCTGCGTACGGTAACATGTCAGGGTGGAGTACAAAGGGTTACTTGGCTTGCCCTAATTGTAACAATAATGCATCGTCTCAGGGATTACGAAGTAAAATAGGGTATATGGGTGCTCGTCGCCACTTGCCTAAGAACCACACTTGGCGAACAAGTAAGCTCTTTAATGATCAAACGGAGCATAGGTCCAAACCTTTGGAGTTATCGGGGGACCAAATACTAGAGCAAATTGATTCTGGGACTTACAAGCCGTATGGAAAGCACCCACAAAATCGAAAACGACAAAGGAATGAACATCAAAATTTGAATTGGAGCAAGAGAAGCATTATGTTTGACTTGCCCTATTGGAAGACGTTGAAGCTTCGACACAACCTTGATGTCATGCATATTGAGAAGAACATATGTGACAATGTCATTGGGACACTTTTGAGCGTAGATGAAAAGAACAAGGACACGGACAAAGCACGCTTAGATTTGGAGGACATGAAAATACGTAAAGAGTTACATTTGAAGAGGCGTTCTAATGGGTCCTTTGAGAAGCCTCCCGCATTGTACACATTGTCGGTGAAAGAGAGAGAAGGCTTTTGTGATTTCTTGAAATCAATGAAGTACCCTGATGGCTATGCAGCAAATATCTCCAATTGCGTAAACGCTCAAGCTGGAAAATTATCTGGCCTCAAAAGTCATGACAGTCATGTCCTTATACAACGACTTCTTCCAATTGGGATGCGTGGCTACCTTAATAAGGAAATTGGAACAACACTTTTTGAGTTGGGAAATTTCTTCAAACAATTGTGTTCAAAGACATTGAGGCGTTCAGATTTGCATAAATTGGATGAACAAATCGTACTCATACTTTGTAAGCTTGAGATGCTTTTCCCACCAGCTTTTTTCGATGTCATGGTCCACTTGGCAATTCACTTGCCTCGAGAGGCTATGCTTGGAGGCCCAGTGCAATATCGATGGATGTACCCAATTGAGAGGTATTAACTCAGCCCTCGTATTACTGTCAAATTTAAGTTAATGCTTTACGGCTGATATAAATATTGTAGTATAACATTGACATCGACTTGCAAAATTAGGTTGCTTGGCCGTCTAAAAGGGTTTGTGGCCAACAAAGCTCATCCTGAAGGTTCTATTGCCGAGGCTTACATTTCCAAAGAATGTACAACATTTTGTTCAATGTATTTGGATGGAGTTGAAACATTGTTTAACCACCCAGAAAGGAATTATGACATGGGTGACCGTGGCCTAGGGTTGGCGGTATTCACTCAAACTGTACGTCCCTTTGGTTTAATGACAAGGGCGTCCGATGTGTCCGTAGCTGAACGCGAGTTGGCTCATTGGTTTGTCCTACACAATAGCACAGAAGTGGATAAACACGAAGACTATGAATCCTTCAAACGTATTTATAATGTTTTTGTTGTAAATTGATTAGTCTTTATCTTAGTAAATAGTTTTTGAATCGCATTTCTTGTAACTAGGGAGCACAAGAACTTGTTACACCAAAAGCCGGTGCGTTCGACATCGAAAACAGACATCGGAAAGAATTTCCTAAATGGTTCAAAGATCATGTAAGCTACTATTCTCATATCTTACCATAGATCGTACATTACGTAAATGTTACGCATGCTAGTAACATGACACATGTTCTTCATGTAGATGAATGAATTGCGGAGCCAACATTCCCCCGAAGCAACTGATGATATGTGGTCATTAGCCAATGGTCCTAGTGGCTTAGCGAACACATATTCAGGATGTATTTGTAATGGTGTCCGTTATCATACTATCGACCGTGACAACCGTCGAAAAAGTCAGAATAGTGGATTAGTCATGGAAGGGGAGCATGAAGGGCAATTGATACACTTCTATGGACACTTGTGCAGAGTGTGGGAACTGAACTATTTGTTCACACGTCGGATTGTATTGTTCCAATGTGAATGGTTTAACAGCGGTAGTAGTAGAACTATGCGTGTAGAGCCACATTTCACAACAGTTGATGTAACAAGTCGATGGTACAAAGATGACTCATTTGTATTACCAAGTCAAGTTGAACAAGTATTCTATGTTAATGACACCAAATTAGGTACCAGTTGGAGAGTCGTTGAAAAGTTTCAACATCGAGGAATTTGGGATGTGCCGGAGATGGATGTCGTACAACCTGATGATGTGTTCCAACAAGAAGAAACCACCGAGGTCGTACCTACTATGGCTATTGATGATGATGTGGATTTGCGTCGAGATGATATTGAATCTGAAATTATTCCCATGGAAGTTTTGCAATCTGTCAGAGGGGTAGAAGCCAAGGGTGTTACAGATGATGCCTTCATCTGTGATGATGAAGATGGATTAATGAGGGAGGGTGACGACACAGACGAAGAATATGACCTACAAAGTGATTTTGATACAGATGTTGATGTAGAATCTTGATGTATATCATGCTTTAGTTCATGCCATAATTTGAGCAATGTGAATGTTCAATTGGTGCACAAATGCAAAGGAAACTGAAAATAATGAAGGGGGATCTATCTTCGTAAATGTCAATAAACTCAGAAATCAATGTGTGTTTAAGGCAGCTAATCCAAACTGAAATGGGTGGAGTTTTGCTGTGGGTGTACCCACTCAGTGCAGAAGTGCAGTCCCTGGACTCATGTTTTTCTTCTCTGCCATTGTATGTTTTTTTCCTCTGGTTTATCTCTGCCCTAGCTTTGCTGATTTGCCCTGGAAGGGTTGCTGTCCAGAATGTAGTGGGAGGCATTTTTGGTGTATCTTTGGTAGTGAAGTTTATGGTGTAGCTTTGGTATCTAACTGCTGCTTACTGTGTCAAGTAGAATGTTTTCTGAGGGGGCCTGGAGTACATTCTCTGGAGCTGCTGTCAAATGGCTGGCCTACTGTCAAATGGAAGGGTGCTGGTCTGCATCTTGTTTGGCTGCAGCTATGCTGGTCAGATTGTGAGTTGAGCCCAGTTAAACCTGCATTCATTGAAGATCTGAATGGTTGGTGTATTTAATGGTCAGCATGGCAGTTTGTGCAAATAGAAGGGTGCTGGTCTGCATCTTGTTACTATGGGGTGTGCTGGTGGAATGTAACTAAATCTTGCCTTTTGGTGGAATGCATCTGATATAGGAAGCTCTGAGCTGGTCTGCATTTGTTTGGCTGCAGCTATGCTGGTATGGCTGGTATGGCTGTAAAGCTGGTTTTGTCTGGTTGCTGCTCTGTTTTGCAATGGGTTTTTGTTGTGCTGCTACTGTGTGGATGTTGTTGGGTTCAAGTTTGGGGCTGCCTCTGCTCTGTTTATGCTTTGTTGTTGCTATTTTATGGTTTTGTAGATAGAGATTAGAATAAGAGTTAACCATGAATAAATGAAGGAAGGGTTAGTTTGGAAGGGTTAGTTTGAATTCAATTGTAATATGTATGTGTACAGATTTTGAACAGTCTGGCTTTGATCACTTTAGGGTCAGCTACTGAATCCTCTTTTGCCAGTCTGATATGCCTGGGATTATAAGTTTGATAAAATCATAGGCCATCATACTTGTCAAAAATAAGAAAGAAAGAAAATTCACAGACTATATCTCTTACATGACAACTTGTATTTTTTTGTTAGAATTTACTATTGTTCTTGTCGCATAGTCTAGTTTAACAGACACCTGTCTTTTTTTAAAATTTATTTCTTGTCATTTTTGCATTATTGAAGTCATTGTTGTTGGTTTTCTTGAGTATTGTTTCTTTACCAATTTAGAAGATTTTTTGCTATTGAGAGAACATGGACATTGACTTTAAAGAAGCAAAAGAAGAGCATTTGATAGTTACTTTGTCCTTCAATTTTGTGGGTTTATTTTTTTTTTCCTTTGGTGTGTCCAGCAAATATGTTTAACTGAAGAGAGTCAGAAATTTCTCCATTGAACATGAAACTGAAGTACTGTGTTTATACTGGAAACTATGCACCTATGAAGCACGGACACCTCTCCGGAGGTTGTGTGTAGGTGTTCGACACGCTGGAAAGAGTTGGACACGTTGCGGACATGTTGGAACACGATGAGGACACGCTAAGAACACGTTGAGTACTATTTTTGAAAATAAAAAATAAAAAATTTTAATTTTTTTTTTATTAAAATAGCATATCTAAAGTTGATAAATTTGATAAAATTAATATTTGACATAAAATATATATTAAAAATATACATATAATACAAATATAAATACATATGTTTTGAACATGTCTCCATCATGTGGTGTCTTGCAAATATACATATAATAAAAATAAAAATAGCATGTCTCCAGCATGGGTGAGGAAAATAACACCGAAGTTCTATTATTTTATTTCTTTAATGAGACAATGTAGTATCTACAAGCTATAGCATTACAAAGTTTTGTTGGGTTGGTAAGGAGTTGGTAATTACTTTTGTAGTCTTGTTTTTGTTGCATCATCTTGATGCTCCTTCAATAAAATTATTTATTTATAAAAAAAAAATATTCTGGATAATCTGCAATTGCTATAGTATGATGGTTTTTACTTTGTAATTATTTGCAGGATACACAATCTATTGGGGCTTTAGCAGGGCTTGCCATTGCAATACTTTTTACATGGAGACTATTGAGATCAACTAGTGCGGCTCAAAGAAGACAGCCTAAACGGCAAGCTACTACTCCTAGTAGTTCTGGTGTCGTCAGTACTCATTCAAATGCAAATTTGACATTTTCCGGAGACTTGTCTTCAGAAGATTCAAGAGCACAAAATGTTATTGATGAGTTCTTCCAGCCCATAAAGGCAACTACATATTTTTCTATCTGTTTTTGGATTATACGTTGCTTCATACTAATTTGATTTATAATTAATTTTTTTGTTGCTGCCTGCAGCCAACTTTAGGACAAATAGTTAGACAGAAGCTGAGTGAAGGAAGGAAGGTAATTTGTTTAGTTTTTCTTGTATTTTTCTTATTTAATAGAGGTCGCTCGTTTATAGATGATGATGTTTTATACTTCTATTGCCTGTCATTTTTTGATAGAACTGGTTCCTGTTGTGAGTGGAAGTTTTATCCTTTTCTCATCAATTTGAGCATGTTTCTTTTTTAAGAAATTAGATGATTTTAATTTTCTTGGCTGGTGCATGGTCCCGACAGATTTTGCAAGTCAAACTTTTAATCATAGAACTCAATTATTCTAAATTGATTATTTTCCAATAATGTTAGAATTTTGCTGGACATTTTTGGTTCACCAATGGGGTCTTTGAAATGATCTTTCTTGCCAGGTAGAATTTGGGAAGCTCAGCAGAATGAAGAATAGGTCTTCTGATACCACATGGGAATCATTTTAATCTTTTCCATGATTTGTTATTTGGCATTATTTATTTTACTTTAATCTTTGGTTCTATCTTTTTTAATCTTTGATTTTTCTCATGGATAAAGTTTTATGGATAATTTTGTTGTCATCCTCACGTCTTGAAGTTATTTGATTTGTGTTTGGCTATTTTATTTTACGAGTAGTGTACCCAGTAAGAAATTTAATGCATTTTCAACCTCCTATAGGACAACAATAATAGAGCCTCTGCCACCGCCACCAACAATAATAATAACAACAAAAAATACTAATGGTGATGTCATTATTGAAGATACACTTATAATGTACAACCTATGCATGGATTTGGTTGCATTTATCTGAGTTGCATTTAGGAACTTCGAAGATAGAATATCCTATTACGGTGTTTCTTGTAGGCACTCTGTGCTTCAACCTAAGTTCAGTTTATATAGTTGCTAGTGTAGCTTGAATGGTTATATTAATTTATTAATCGTTTAATTGTCATTTTTTAAAATTTATTTCTTGTCGTTTTTGCATTATTGAAGTCATTGTTGTTGGTTTTCTTGAGTATTGTTTCTTTACCATTTTAGAAGATTTTTTGCTATTGAGAGAGCATGGACATTGACTTTAAAGAAGCAAAAGAAGAGCATTTGCTATCGTGATTAGACCTTATCCTAGAAATTGATAGTTACTTTGTCCTTCAATTTTTTGGGTTTATTTTTTTTTTTCCTTTAGTGTGTCCAGCAAATATGTTTAACTGAAGAGAGTCAGAAATTTCTCCATTGAACATGAAACTGAAGTACTGTGTTTATATTGGAAACTATGCACCTATGAAGCACGGACACCTCTCCGGAGGTTGTGTGTAGGTGTTCGACACGCTGGAAAGAGTTGGACACGTTGCGGACATGTTGGAACACGATGAGGACATGCTAAGAACACGTTGAGTACTATTTTTTTCATAAAAAATTAAAAATTAGAATACTATTATCAGGTTATGTCAAAATTAGAATTAGAATACTATTAAAAATTAGAATCATCAGGTTATGTAACAGCCTTAGGTAACAGTCTCAGCACTTCTTACAGTAGTGAGTCACTGACCCAACCATTGTGCAGATGAGTAGGCAATTTTGACTTGGATGATCAAAATGGATTCAATCCTGCAGAATCAGAGGACGGATTCCAGTATGGGCCATTTTTGGTAATGATTTTAGATTGGTCTGTCAAAATGGGCTTACAATCCTTCATGATCCCCCTTTTGGGGTCCATCCTTTAATTCAACAGGATTTAAGTGGGATTGTGACCTACTGTGTCATGTCTCTCTAAGGCTTCACCCTCACATGTACCAATAATACTAAGAATCAAAGGACGGATTCCAGTATGGGCCATTTTTGGTAATGATTTTAGATTGGTCTGTCAAAATGGGCTTACAATCCTTCATGATCCCCCTTCTGGGGTCCATCCTTTAATTCAACAGGATTTAAGTGGGATTGTGACCTACTGTGTCATGTCTCTCTAAGGCTTCACCCTCACATGTACCAATAATACTAAGAATCAAAGGACGGATTCCAGTATGGGCCATTTTTGGTAATGATTTTAGATTGGTCTGTCAAAATGGGCTTACAATCCTTCATGATCCCCCTTCTGGGGTCCATCCTTTAATTCAACAGGATTTAAGTGGGATTGTGACCTACTGTGTCATGTCTCTCTAAGGCTTCACCCTCACATGTACCAATAATACTAAGAATCAAAGGACGGATTCCAGTATGGGCCATTTTTGGTAATGATTTTAGATTGGTCTGTCAAAATGGGCTTACAATCCTTCATGATCCCCCTTCTGGGGTCCATCCTTTAATTCAACAGGATTTAAGTGGGATTGTGACCTACTGTGTCATGTCTCTCTAAGGCTTCACCCTCACATGTACCAATAATACTAAGAATCAAAGGACGGATTCCAGTATGGGCCATTTTTGGTAATGATTTTAGATTGGTCTGTCAAAATGGGCTTACAATCCTTCATGATCCCCCTTCTGGGGTCCATCCTTTAATTCAACAGGATTTAAGTGGGATTGTGACCTACTGTGTCATGTCTCTCTAAGGCTTCACCCTCACATGTACCAATAATACTAAGAATCAAA